TGTGTGAGTGTAGACAGAGAGGGAGGGAAAGGGAGAGTGGGAGGTAAGTAGGGGGAGACAGACAGATAGGGGCGCCAATTTGAGAGTGAGTTCCTCTGTGGATATGTGTGGGGGTGGTAAAAGTGGGATAAATCTTTCCCATGTGGGGAAGTACAAGCTGCATATTTCAAACTAAGAGGAAATAAAGATGAAACTTTCAGTTGCATATTCACTGGAAAGTCAGGACTTCATTCTTTCATAGTACTGAGGATTGAATCCAGGGCTTTTGCATTGAGCTGCATGTTCAGACCTTTAAAAAATAGTTTCAGGGGCTGGCGAGATGGCTCAGTGGTCTAAAGCACCTACATGGAACAAGCTTGGCAAAGCACAGGGACCACGGTTTGATCCCCCAGCACCACATGCCAGCCAGCCTCGCCCCCTGGTGGGCTGAGCTGGCCACACACACACACACACACACACACACACACTAAAAAAAAAAAAATAGTTTCAGCCAGTCATGGTAGCACATGCCTATTGTTCCAGCACTTGGGAGGCTGAGGCAGGAGGATTGCCATGAGTTGGAGGCCAGTCTGCACTACACAGTGAGTCCATATCCAGTCTGAACTACATAGTAAGACCCCTGTTCCTTTTTTAAATTATTATTTATATATTTAGTATAGGGTCTACATGGTCTCACTACAGACAACGGACTTGTAGTGATCCTCCTGTTTTCAGCCTCCCAAGTGCTTGGATTACAGGCGTGCACCTCCACACCTAGTCCCAATCACTGCCTCAGGGTGCCCCAGGGGTGGGGCTGGCATGACACACCAGGGATTGAACCCCAGTTCCTATGCTTGTCTAAACAGGTGCTTTAGTCCGCTGAGCTATCTGGCCAGCCCTGTGAGACCTTGTCTTAATAAAATTAAAAAAATGTTTTGAGACAGAGTTTTGCTAATTTGTCCAAGCTGGGCTGAATTTGTATTCTTCTTGGCTCAGTATTCTAAGAGTGCTGGGATTACAGGCTTGGACTACCACACTTGGCTAGGATTTATTTTGAGCAGTTAATAAGATATACCTTACCCTTAAACTACCAAGAGGTTTTTGCTTTTGGCATGGAGAATTAAACTCAGGACCTTGAGCTTGCCAACTAGGTGTTGTCCCACTGAGCTATATCCCCAGCCCTAACCTACCAAGAAGAAAGGGACTGCACAGAAGCTGCAATTGACTTGCACTCAGTGCAAACAAAAACATTTTATCTTTTTTAAAAAACATTTTATCTTGTATCCAAGACATCCACTTGTAGTACGTGGGGAATGATGGGGAACCTTTGAGAGACCCGGTGCCCAAACTGCAACCCAAAACCCACTTATTTATTGCAAAATGCCCAACACTGCAATTAAACTTGAAAATAAAGGTTTTAGTTTAGGAAAACACAACTGTTATCCACTGCTTTGCTGCTGGGGTGACTTGGCTCTTGTGCTGACAGACCACTCTGTGTCTTGCTGTGGCACACGTGTCACAGGTTCCGCACCACTAGACTGGGCACAATGTAATTCTGAAGCTGACAAAAGGAAGGCAGCTCCACCACCCCTTGAGGCCTACCCAGGAGCTCAGCAAAACCTCTCTCAATTCCTACTGGTAAGGCTATTTTCTTCTTCTAAGACTTTTTTTTTTTTTTTTAAGATTTTATTTTTATCACAGGAGCTACTCAGCTGACTGTTGATTTGACTCCAGAGCTTGTCTGGATTCTGACAGTGGCCTGTTACAGAGAAGGCTGAAGCCCCCATCTAGTCAGATTCACTCAGTGAGGGGAGGGCTTACCAGTGAGGAATTGCACACATGTCTACCAAACAAGACTGTGCTTTCAAACATTGTTTTATTTGGTCTTTTATCTGGTCTTATCCTCAGATCTGAGTTACCGGAAGCAGAAATATCTAAAGTAGTCAGACACTTGCATTTTATGCTTAGATATGAACATTTACCTTTAACCCAGGAAAGTTAGCAAATGTCAGTAAGAGAGATAGCCAAGCCTCAAAGGTCATCTAGCTGGCATGGAAATTAAAGCCTAGGGTTGACAGGAGCAGGCAGGAGCATGCCTCACTCGCCATGGATGCTTTGAGCACTCAAGCATGAGCACTCAAGCAGAGAAGATAGGGGAAAACAAGAATTAGTAGACACACAAGCAGGTAAGTCAAAATAGACAATTTCACCTATAAGAGATAGGAATGAGGCAAAATGTGCAAAGCTTGCTGGGCACTGTGGTGCAGGTCTGTGATCCAAGGACTTGGGAGGCTAAGGCAGGAAGATTGCTGTGAGTTTAAGCTGGAGCTACATAGTAAGTTCAGGTCCAGCCTCAATTTAGCAAGAACTTGTCTCAGGGGCCAGGGAGATGGCTCAGTAGAATAAGTGCTTCCCTGGCAAGCGCAAGGGCCTGAGTTCAATCCTCGGTTCCGCAAAAAAAAAAAAAAAAAAAAAAAAAAAAGCTTGACCAGCCATGTTTGATAATGTATCAAATTTTCACAGAAGTAGAGTTGGTTAATTTTTTTTTTTTTTTGCTTTTGAGACAGAGTCTCACTATGTAGTCCAGGCTGGCCTTGAACTCACCATGTAGCCCAGACTAGTCTCAAACTTTCAGTGATCCTCCTGCCTCAGCCGCCTGAGTACTAACTAGGATTATAGGCATGTACCACCACACTCATTTGGTTAATATTGTTTTGAAACAGGATCTCAACCTGGCCTCAAACTAAGTGATCTTCTTCTCTTGGTCCCTCCTTCCCCCTCACTGTTGGGTTATAGGTACCAACCACCACGCCCAGCTAGAATGAAAAATTATTGGCCTTGGAAGGATACCCTATTTCTGGAACATCTCTCATATTTAAAGGCCCACATTTCATTAAACATTCCACTATCCCTAAGACAAGACTAGTTATTCTTTAAACAAAACAACCTAGTGAAATCCAAAGAAAACCTAAAAATTGAGAATCAAGGCTGGTTATGGTGGCCCATGCTTATAATCACAGAATTTGGGAGGCCTTGGAGGCACGAGGATCACCAGGAGTTCAAGGGAAGCCTGGACTACACAGTGAGTTCAAGGCCAGATTGAACTACATAGCAAGATCCTGTCACAAAAACAACAACAACAAAAAAAATAAATAAATAAATAAAAAATAAAAATTGACAATCTAGGGGCTGGGGAGATGGCTCAGTAGCATAAGTACTTCCCTGGCAAGTGCAAGTGTCTGAGTTCAATCCCCAGTTCTGCAAAAAAAAAAAAAAAAAATTGACAATCTACAACTCTAAGAGACAAGGAATAAGAAAATAAATAAACCAGATATGCAGGTACACATCTGTAATCCCAGGACTCAGAAGGCTGAGGCAGGACTCAGTTGGAAGTCAACCTGTGCTACATAGACAGTTCAAAACCAGCCTGAACTACCAAGTGAGATTTCATCTCCAAAGAAACCACAAAAACAAAAACAAAACACCCCGAAATAACTGAAGTCTGACATGATGGTGCAGGCCTGTAATCTCAACACTGGGAGGCTGAGGCAGGAGGATCACAAATTCAAGCATATCCTGGGCAATTTATCAGTTTTTTTGTTTGTTTGTTTTTTGGTACAGGCAATCAAAATCAGGACCTTGTGCTTGCCAGGCAGGTGCTTAGGCTGCTGAGCTAGCTCCCAGGAAGCTTAACCTGGGCAATTTAGTGGTACCTGTAACCCAACAGTGAGGGGGAAGGAGGGACCAAGAGCAGAAGATCACTTAGTTTGAGGCCAGCCTGAGATCCTGTCTCAAAACAATATTAACCAAATGAGTGTGGCAGTACATGCCTATAATCCTATGCTGCTGAGCTATCTCCCAGAAAGCTGAACCTGGGCAATCTGATGGGAAGTCAAAGCCGAGAGACTGCTGGGGGAAAAGGAAGAACTAGGGGAGAGTAGACAAGTCACTGTCTCTAAATAAATAAATAAAATGGCTAGGGATATAGCTTAGTGCTAAGGTTCAATCCCCAGTGCAGGAAGGGGGAGAGGAACAAACTAGTCATCCAAGGATGGATCTGTGTGAGAAGGTATATGGGGATGGCTGCTTTAGTATTCGGGAAGCAGGCACCCTGGTCCCAAGTTTGTATATAGCTCTTCTGCGGCTGTATTTCTAGATTTTTTTTGTTTTGTTTTGTACCGGGAATTGAACTCAGAACCTCGAGTTTGGCAGGCAGGTACTTGAGCCGCTGTATCTTCCGCCTCCGTATCTATGGTTTTGGGGCTGGGGAGATGGCTCAGTAGAAAAAGCGCTTGTCTGGCAAGCCCAAGAGGCCTGAGTTCAATCCCTGGTTCCACCAAAATAAATAAAAACGTATCTATGGTTTTGTTTTTGAGACACGATCTCACCCTGTAATCCAGGGTAGCCTCGAACTCTTAATGATCCTCCAGCTTCAGCTTCCCAAGTGCTGGGGTTACAGGAGTGAGCCAGCACCCTCGGCTGTATTTCATTTTTAGAGCTATTAGGCAATGACTCTTCTTTCCCAGTCTTTGCCCAAATTCCCTGCACCCTACTGTTCTGACAGCACTTCTTTCTCCACCCTGTTTCTTCTCTACCGCTATGCTCATGGCCTCCTAGGTCTTCCCACCTAGGGCCCCGACCTTTCATCCACCCTTCTCCACAAACCCCGGCTCCTCGCCTTCGCGCTCTCCGGTACCCTCGCTGCCTCTCCCTTTCCCGCTGTCTCTCTGCCCTACCCTAGCCGGACCTAAACCCCACGGAGGAACCTCCCGCGCCCGCTCTTCTCTGTCCTCACCCCTTTGCTTCGAGCCACACTCCCGCCTTTTGAAGCTTCTTAGTTCGCTGTTACCTCCTCCCCAACACCGGGACCCCCGGCAAAATTTCACCCATCAAGCTTCATTCCCGCGTATCAAACCCACCCTTTGCCCAACACTCTGCTCGCTTCACGCCCAAACCCCTCAGGCCCCGCCCCTGGCGACCGAGGCCCCGCCCCAACTCGCCTAAGCCCCGCCCATACTCACCTGCGGCATCTTCGCGCGCAGGGTTTCGGGGCTGGGGAAGAGCGGACCGTGTTGGGGAGGACGGGGTACGGGGCGGTCAGGGTCCCCCACTCTGGCCCGGTTGGCCCAGTGCGGGGGCAGTGGGGTCACTGAGGTGGCGGTAGCCAGGCCAGAGCCGGGACTCGGGCGCTCAGTAGCGGCGGCGGCTCCATCTCCATCAGCGTCTTCACCTGAGGAGGCAGCGTCCCCCCCAAGCCCCCCCAAGCTGGTTTCCCCCCCACAACTTCCGGTCCTACTACTAGGCGACAGGCAGCAGAGCCGAACATCGAGCGCCCCCCCCCACAACCCGAGAGACTGCTGGGGGAAAAGGAAGAACTAGGGGAAAGTAGCCGAGTGCCGAAAGATTCACGTCTAAAAGGCGCAGTTGCTCGCCAAACCTTTAACTCAGACTTCTTTATAGGCATCTAATTTGCAAACTAGGAACACGTTGGGCGCTCCACAAGCTATGGCAGGTATCTTTAGTGTCAAGTGTTGCCGCTGCTCTTCCTAATATTAATTTCAATCTCTTAGCATTCTTTGCCACTGTCAAGCGTTTAGGAATTAGGACTTAAGTTCTGAGGGTATCAATATATATATTTTTGATCTCTGGGGATCTCATAAGGTCGGTTACCTAAATGGTGCTGCTGGTGCTGACAGACCTCAGAGAAGGAAGTCCTACTACTACTACCTTCAGATCTCTGCTTCCCTCAGCACTCCCACCACCCATTTATTGATTTCGGGCTAATCTCTGACCACCCAGTATCAATAAAAACTCCTATTTGCAACATACAAACTCCCCAGGCCCAAGAGGTCAAAGAATGATGCCTTTTATTGATGCATTTATAAAGAGTAGAGCTGTAATTGGAGAGCTTGTGTCCGTCTCTCATCACCTCCTACCATAGAGGCAGTGAAAAGTAGCAGTTTTGTTACACATACTACACACATTCTTTGAAGAATTTAAAAGCAAAATAAAGTATGGCAATAGGCAGAAGTGGAGGTGGGTAGGATGAGAAAATAGAGATTTTCTCAATTACTTTTCTCACTGCCAGCCCTTTGCTCCAACAGCTCTCACTTGGAAAAGAATCAGGGGCTCCGAGGGATACATAACATAGTGTCCAAGAGGGAAGGGTGCTTGGATAGAAATATGCAATCTGAGCCTGGCATGGTGGTACATGCCTGTAATCCTAGCACTTGGAAGGCTGAGGCAGGAGGATCATCGTGAATTCCAGGCCAGCCTGGGATACAAAGTGAGCTCAAGGCCAGCCAGAACTGCATAGCCGAGACTCTATCTCAAAAAAGGCCAAAAAACAACAACAAAAACGCAATGTGGAATACCCTTCTCTGACAAAACTAAACAAAAAAAGGGGATACAAATGAAGGACCATTTTGTATCTGTATATTCAAAATAGGGTAGATATACAGCTGCATTCTCTTAATTCAATGAATAGAGAGGTTTGTTCTAGCAGTGTTTGTGGACAGGATATCATGTCTGTGTCTTGTACAATGAATAACCACTAAGACAACAATATGCACTGTATTAATTATTGAAACTGTACTTTTAAAATTATTTTAAAAAGAAAAAAAAACACGCAATGTGTGTACCTGAGTGTAGCTCAAAAAGGCACAGTCTAGGAGTGTGATCCAAGAAGTGGAGAACAAGGAAAGGAATTTTTTTTTTTTTTTTTTTTTTTTTTTTTTTTTTTTGGTGTGTGACGGTGAGGTCACAGGATGGAAAAAAAAAGGCGTTAGGTGGCTCTGGGGTATAGATGGCTTCATTTCACGCTCTCACGGGGAAACATGAATATGGACACTATGCCAGGCATTGCTGAGCACACCTCTCAGGTTCCAGGTTGGGGCCACAGTGTCTGGTTGCACATTGTAGCTGTCATCCACAGCCTTACACACAATGTTCAATTCCTTTTGCCCAGCTGGCACAGGTGCTTGCAGTTGCCATAGACGCCAGGCCCAGGCCTTTCTGGGGCGCTGTTCCTCTCCATCCAACTCAGCTGTCTGCCAGGTGAGCCCCCCATCCAGAGACACATCAACCCGGATTATGGCCCTACCACCACCACTCCACGCATAGCCCTTGATGGTCACATCCCCTGACTCTATAGTCTCCCCATCCCGAGGCTCTGTGATGGCTGACTGGACAGGGAGTTCTTGAATAGATGGAGCTGAGTCAAAATCTACAGTGTCCCAGTCCACAGATGGAGAGAAGCCTTTGTAATCCCGTCGCTGCCAGTGGCTGTGACTTTCCTCTGGCTCTACACTGATTCTGCCCAGCCACTTGACATGGCGAGCACCCACTACACCAGGAACTATCACCCGCACAGGGAAGCCATGGTCACGAGGCAGAGGCTGCCCGTTCATCTCATATGCCAGCAGGACCTCAGCTTCAGGATTCAAAGCCCGAGCAAGAGGGATGGATGCTCCATAAGCAGTCCCAGTGGGATCACAGTCTAGTCCCTCAAAGCAGACATGGAACTCAGTGTCAGACAGCTGGTAACCAGCCTGGGCTAACACATCACTGAGCCGTGCACCAGCCCAGCGTGCGGTGCTGATGGCCCCTGTCTTCCACTCCAGACCTTTCACTTCCTTGATCTGAGTCATCTCAGAACGCCGGTTGCCAGCACACTGCAGAGTGACGTTGATCTCATGTTTGGGAAACTTGTACAAGTCATCCAGGGATAGACAGAGTGACTGATGTCCAGGTGCCCCTACCACATGCAAGCGATAGGTATCAGGGTCCAGGTTAGGTACAGGCAGATGGTTCCGGGTGAAGAAGATAGGGTTGGGTGTGATGTAGTTTTCTGTCAGCAGCTCAGGGGGAGGCTCTGCATTGAAGGGGCGTTGGCTGTTGACCTTCAGGGCTGGGTGACGCTTAGGATCATTAGCGTAAGGGTCAGAGATTTCCAAGGTTGGGGACACATCGTCTTCAGGGTTCAGCTCACCAATCTTGTACTCAGCCAGTAACTCACGCACATGAGGTTGGTTGTGAAAAGCATAGAGGGACCAGAAAGGCTCTAGGGGACCCCCGGCTGCTAGCATCAGCTTTGATGGGCCTCCTGGATGTCGATCCACAAATTCTGTGACATCAAAGACCTCACAACCCAGAGTCACCCAGATCCCAGTCTCAGGGCTGCTGTGGGAACTCACTTCCTCCTTAGTGTACACGTGTGGTGAGTCCTGAGAAGCCTATGGGTAGAATGGAGACAAGGCAAAAGAGAAAAGAAACGACTAGCTCACTCTGACCCAATCCACAGTCTTACCACCAGAAAATAAGGTAGTGACAGCATCTCTACTGTGCCTGAAAACAGTGCTGGCAAGGGCTTTGTGGTGACAGCAAGAACCTGTATCACAGGGTTGCCTGGGGAGCACACCAGAATCCCTTTGTTCTGATAATGAGGACTGTTCCCTACTTACCCTACACTGATGGTCATGATAGGCCAATGCTGCGCCAAGTCCTAGCAGAGCCCCCATGACTTTCCATCCCCTAGTGCTGTAGTTATCACCACAGAAGTTGGGGCTGGGGTGCTGGGGCTGAAATGAATCATTTGTAGAGCAGGTCTGAATGCAGAGCCTTGAAGAAGTTGACCTCAGTCTAGAAGAAAGAGATCTTAGTAGTATACAAAGTCATGTGAAGGGCTGGCCAAATAGCTCAGCAGATTAAAGGGCCTGCAAGCAGGTACAGGGGCCAGGGGTTTGATGCCCTGGCCTGTCATGCTGGCTCTGTCCCCAGGGCGTGCTGAGTCAGCAAATGAAACTGGGCATGGTGGCACAAGCCTATAATCCCAGCTCTTGGGAGGCTGTAAACAGGTGGATCACTACAAGTGTGATCTAGTAGTGAGACCTTGAACACCCTGTAGACCCTTCCCTCAAATACAAAACAAAACAAAACAAAAAACAAGTCATGTGAAAGTCCCAGTAATAGCCTGGGGTCTGCTTCTTCCTGGTTGGCACTGGTTCATTTAGTGAGGATTTTATTTCTCCAGGGATGGGTGGGATATATGGTTTTTCTTTACCTTATTGGCCACCTCTAAACCATCTTATCTGGAAGATAAGATAATGATCTAGCAGATAAGATAGTTATATAATAGAAATGGTTGAGATTAGAGTCCTGCCTGGGGATGACCCACCTGAAGGCCTGTCGAAGGCCAAGGATCACAGGTCTGTGCAGCAGCAGCAACATGGTGGCTGACCTGTAGGAGGAAGTGCTAATCAAGACAAGAACCCTGTGAGGAGTACTTCGGGCGGGCTGAGGGAAAGGTGGGAGGAGGAAGCTGTCTGAGCAAGGATAAGGGCCCAAATGGACTCTCAGATGAAACTTGGAGCACATGAGAGACAAAGACTGCTGGCAGGATGGAAAGGAAGGAGTGGCTGGTGCTTCTGGAATATCTGTCTCCCATGCTCTGTTCTTGACTTTGTCCACTATAGGGAACAATACTGAGGCCAAGGGCCTAAAGGGCAGAAGCCAAGCGTCTACTGTCAGCTGGCCAGTTTATTTATTTATCTTCTGGCGTTCGGACTGAACCCAAGGCCTTGTGAACGCTAGGCAAGCTGTGCTCCTGTCCTGCCCCAGTTTACTTGGTAATTATTTCTGAAGTCAGTAGAGGACCACTAAGGGTCAGACTGATGTAAACGGACAAAAAGGCAAGAAAGGCAGTGTCGGGGCTGGTGAGATGGCTCAGTGGTCTAAAGCACCTACTTGGAACAAGCTTAGCAAAGCACAGGGACCGCGGTTCAGTCCCCCAGCACCACATGCCAGCCAGCCCCGCCCCCTGGTGGGCTGAGCTGGCCACAAACACACACATAAATAAATAAATTTTTTTTTTTTTAAAAAAAAAGAAAGGCAGTGTCAGCCTAACGAGGTGAAGCTCAGATTCCACTCACTATAGGCACAGGCTGGCCTCGAATTTGCTGGGTTTGGTTTGTGAAACCCAGCCCTGCCATTACTCAGTTCCCTATCCAGCGGAACTAATATGAAAAATAAACAAGTAATATTGTCATTGAAGGAGTTGTCCCTTATCTCCCTTCACTTCCAACGAATGACTCCAACTGGGACCTGAACCTCAATTCCAGGTCCCCACCCCAACCTTGTCTATTGTGTTCCAGTGAGTTCTGCCAATTGCGAGTCAATGGCCAGGATGTTAGAAGGGCTGAAAAACGAGGTTAATTTTTGCGCTCTGTCCTGAAGCATCTTTTTTTTTTTTTTCCCCCTCAAACACCTATGCCTTAGAGTTGAGTGCTGATCCAAGGAGGACTAAGGGAGGGAGGGAGATGTGTCCCACTTTGCTGATGAGATACTGGGAACAGAGTGAGGGTGGTCAGGGATGGGGAGGCAGAGAAACCACAGATGGGACTCTGGAGCCCTCGCTTTTCCTGCCACTTACACTCAATTCCAGCAGCCTGCTTGAACCAGTGTAGAGTCCCAGGTCTGGCAGGGGTGGCCTTCTGCTGCAATACAGAAATACCACTCGTTGGTTCAGGTGGTGGCCTCCCACTTCCCAGGGGTGTTTTTGGGGAAGGTAAATCCAGCGTTCGGGCACAGCATTGGGCCCTGTGCCACTGCCTAGCAACACTTCGCAAGCCCGCGGGCGCTCTGGCATCGGGAGCGCACACACTGCTACTTTTGTTAAACCTGAGGGTCAGAGTCCTGGTAGGTGCCAAGACCCTCCCCAGCCTCCCCTGGATCCCCGCTGCACCGCCCCTTACCGGCTCTGAGTCCGCGCCTCGCGGGTCTTACCGGCTCCGCTCCAAGCCAGCGATCACGAGGGGGCGGGGCGGCGCCGTGACGCGCACCGCGGTGGGGGGGAGGGGGCTTTATAACGGCGGCCTCCGCCCCCTGAGCGGGTTCCCCGCTATTGGTCCTCGGTTTCTCCGCCGCTCGGCTGTCTGTCTGCCGAGAGGGGCGGGTTGTCAAGAGGGCTCTGAGGTGAGGCTGGTGGCATTGTGGCCTCTCCCGCCTTCCATCTGTTGACTAGAGCTTATCATAGCCGGCTGGGCCAGAAACAGATCCTTCAGTGATGTCGGAGTGGAGTCGGGCAGCGGAGGTGACGTGCGCTCCAAACTTGGGCTGCAGCCCCGCCCCACCCGCCAGCTAGGGGTCTGGGTGAAGTCATTCCCGCACTCCCTGGCGTCCCCGGGATCCAGCGGCGTCTCAAGGGGCCAGTTCTGCATCTATTGAGATGAGATTTCGCTATGCAGCTTAAACTGGCTTTGAACTCTCTGTGACGCCCAGGCAGGCCTCGAATTCGCGGTGATCCTCCTGCCTCAGCCTCCTGAGCGCTGGGATTACAGGCGTTTACCACCACGCCCTACTATGCTTTCGAGTTTGTTTGTTTGACAAGTATGGGTTGCAACACTAATTCTGGTTTGTTTTAGGAAAAGCAAGGTCACTCACTTCTCTTATATCCAGTAAATGAATCCTAACATAGTAGTTCCAAGCCTTGAACGTGTCATGGGCTAGTAGAATTTGTTCAGCAACACTGAATCTTTTAAATTTCACGTAGTCAATTTAAATCATTTGCCTTGAACAAGAGCAGTAGCATTTCAACACCCCAAAGTACGGTTATAGTCTTACTACAATTTTAAGGACACTTAATAAATTTGCTGTTACCCTTTTATCATTTGCCCAGCAAATTTGTGAAACCTAGTCGCACAACTGAAACAAACGTATTCCTACACTGCCCCCTGGAGGCCAGAGGGTTGAGCTACAAGGTGCATTACTTTTACCTTCCCTTTCTGGAAAGCGCCTCAACCAGGAATCAAGGACTTGTGGCTAAAGGTGGGTGATGTAGTAAGGGAAGTGGAACTGACAGCAGAAAGTTGGTTTTGGCCCTAAATATTTTGAAAATAAGTTTCTAAACTGTGTACAACTAATCTCTAAAGAGAACTGAGGGCTGGTGAGATGGCTCAGTGGTCTAAAGCACCTACTTAGAACAAGCTTAGCAAAGCCCAGGGACCGCGGTTCAATCCCCCAGCACCACATGCCAGCCAGCCCCGCCCCCTGGTGGGCTGAGGGGCCACACACACACAAATAAAAAAATAAATAAATTAAAAAAAAAAGAGAGACTGAAACCCAACCCATCTTGTCAACTGAAAGTTTTAACTCAAGGAAAATATAGAGAATTCTGGACTATCTACAAGTCACAGAGAAGTCTCTTTCTGATGTAAGCTTTACATATTTGACCTTTAAACCTCAATTTTACAGATAAAAAACTGAGGCATACAGCACTACTTAACTTGATCAAGGCCAGAGCTAAGTTAGAAATGAGACTAGAATACAAAATCTGCCTGGCATCAGTCTTCCTTGATTTTTTTTTTTTTTT